ATGATGTTTCTCATATCTCAATCCAGTCGCCCAAGTTTGCAACGCCCTCTATCTCTCTCTCTGTGCTGCTAATATTGCTGGACCAGCTGGTCCAATATATTCTTTCTTCAAATTTGATTCTCCGAGTTCCGCTCTTCAAGTCCAGTAATGGTATCGTCTCTCGCCTTGGTCGGCTCTAAGGTTTCGCCTTTTGGTGTTATCTCCCCAAATGGAAATGCTTTTTCTTTCAGACATTTTCACAGACGTGTGGAAGGCAAATTTCCTGTGAAGAATTTACGCAACGATATGTGCTTCAGGCTAAGCAAGACCCATATATGTTCTCCATTATTACTTCAGAATCCCTCAAAGCGTTTTTCTTTACTCGCATTGGATTGCACTGGTTCACACTCAAACACAAAGATTCACACTGAGAACAGGTTTTTGAAAAGCCTTGAAAATATCTCCCTGGAATCGATAAAATCAAGATTTTCCCAATTAACCCCTTTTGATGTTTGCAAGTGGTCTCTTTTGTTTTCATTAGCAATAGCAGCTTCAAACTGGACAGTGGGTGTACTTGTCAGCCCATTCTTCTGGATGTACTTCAGTTTGTCTTTGGTGTTCTGGCCTTGGATGGTTGCAATTGGGCTAGCCTTGTATGGGGTTTATTGCCTTAAAAAGCATTCTTGTGGCGAAGCTAACAAGTTTGAGCAGATTGCCATTGTCACCTCAGCGTTTACTTGGCTAACATTAGTCCCACCTGCCCACTTCAGCGGCTATCTCGAGGGGTGGCCGTTGGTGTTCTTTTTCGTGTACCATTATTTCTTTTTCCTCAATGTGAGTGTTAGAAAGAGGCTTTATGGTGATCTATTGCCAAGGGAGCATGATGAAAAGTGGGACATTAGCCTTCCCAATTGGCAGAAGCTTTTATTCAGTTTCAGTGTTCTGGTTGGCCATTGGTTTGCAGCATTTGAAGGTCCAGAGTTGAATCTCATTACAGGCGGTAGATGGATCAATACAGGTATATGGGCTTTGATCATGATGACAATATTCATGCAATATCATTCAACCTTGTATTTGGCCAATTATTCTGAGAAGGTAGTGGTCCCCACTGCGGTCGTGCAGTTTGGACCTTATCGGTTCGTTCGCCATCCCATATATGCATCAACCATGCTCTTGTTTGCTACTTTTTGCATCACGTTAAGGGCACCTTTCAGCACTGTCTTTGTTGTTGCGGTATGCCTGGTGTACTATGGTGAAAAGGCTAAATTAGAGGAAGCCTTGATGGTAGAGACCTTTGGTGAGAGATATTTGGAGTATGCTAGGAAAGTTCAATATAGACTCCTTCCATTTGTTTATTAGTTTTAGATGATATGATTTCTCTGCAGGACCTTTGATCTACAGAACAATGTCTTTTTTATTTATTTATGTAACTTGCCATATACATTCATTCTAATGCTTTTGTTCCTTTTCTCTTTATCCTGCTCTGCTCTCTCTACAGTGAGAGCCATTTGACCCATCTCTAATCACAAGTTGCAGCTTTGTGAATCTGAGATGGTTTGTAACTTCATTGCCTCAACACCCCAGTCCCCACCCTATGAATATCTTGGTTTTATGAAGTTTGCGATCCCATAGAACTTTTTACTTCAGCTTCTGTTTTGAGTGTATAATTTCTTATGTCCATGTGTTGCTATCACCCTGTTTTGAGCCTTACAATTTGCTTGTGTAATTTAGGAAAGATTGTGTATATTTTTCACTTCAGTGCCTAAACATTTTTTCCTTAGTACAATAGTACATAGATCATCCGGCAAATGAAACTTTGGAAGTCAATTATACCTTGTCTATGATATTATGACTAATCTAGCCTACATCTTTAACACCCTACACCTAAGTGTAAGGATGATATGTTAGGAGACTTAAAGTCTGTGTTAGAGTTTCCCATATTTTCCCAAATGAACTGTATTTCTTAATTAGTGGTTCTTTTGGTTAGTTCCTTTAATTTATTTTCTTACTAGTGTTAGCAAAATATCTTAATTTCACTAATCATTGTGGTGTTAGTCCTCGGTTGATGGGTTATCTTGCTTAGTTAATTTAGTTGTTTTTCATTTCATATATTTAGCTTAATAAAAATCCATATTTCCTATTTGGAAAAGTTTCCAACGACTTGTTTTAACTTGTGGCTAACTATACGCAACATGTTCCTTTGGCACTCCTAAAAAGGACACTAGAGGAGTCGAGGTCATGTACTCTAGGCTTGCTATTAATTAATGTTAGCCTAACACTGACTGTGGATTACGCATATTCATCCTTTTATTACAAAATTGATCATTAGCAAAGCCAATGGCAGGCTTGCTATTTCATTAGCAAATATCTCTTCCATAAGTTCCATTACCTTTCCTCTGCCATATTGTAGAGGATCTCTTTCTCATACCAATTATGGGAGGACACAGTCTTGTGATTGGCCTGTTTGGGAGCTGTGACCAGGGCTGAAAATAAGGTTCTGCGCCGGGACTAGAACTGCACTAGCGGGAAGAGTTCCCGGTCCAACTTCCTAGCTAGGACTCAATTTGTGAGACTAGGACTGACCGATCTAGTCCCAGTTACAGTCCCACTTTTTTTTTTTTGTATTTGAACTATTGGGAAGCAGTTTAAAAGGGGTGAGAGTACATCTGAGAATTGAAAAAGATTGGGGAGGAGGATGAACAATATAAAAATGTATAAAAAGTGAGACCAGCGAGCAACCAAAATTGGGCTTGAAACCGGAAATAGAAGTCCTCGTCTTGAGGCTTGTAGTTCATCTTCAAGAACTAACTGGTCTGGGAGAGTGGTACCGGTCCAGAACTTGACCGTGTCCATCCATGATTGATAAGCACAAACTTCAAGCGGCGGCCACCAAATGAGATGCAATGGATGATATGTTAGGATGGTTTTAAAAAGATCAGATTAGATCAGATCAACCCATACTTTGGGAGTTGTAAAATGCACATTGAACAACATCTATCGAACCAGACTCAAATAAATCAGACTAGACCAGACCAGACCATAAAATCACAGTTTAATTAAAAACAACCTTAGTGATATAAGCTCCTCTTCGCGGCGCCTAGGGTTCTCCTCATTGCATTGGAGCGGTGAAGGCCTTAGGTTCTACGGCGGCGGCGGTCCTAGCAAATCTAGGTTTATTGGAGGGCGGCGCTATAGCTTTCTTGGCGCTTCAGTGTCCCGGATTTTGCTAGTTTTTTTCCTCATCTGGAGGTAGGGGTAGAATGCGGGTGCATTCGGGCTCGGAGGATATTGGCGAATCTCAATTGCAGCACAGGTGAGGTGATAGGGATCTGGAGATTGTTCGCGTTTGGACTGGCTGTGCATGTGCGGTATCTTGGCCAAGAGAAGGAGGCGAATCATGGGCATATCAAGGTGTTGAAGGAAGAAGATGAAGTGAAGAAGACCCGCCCCCCTCTTGAACCGCTGCCAAGCCGGAAATGGGTGACTAGGGATCAGAACATCGTGCTGGAAGATTGGATTCAGCCGCTCAATAAGTTCATCCTGCTTAATTTCATTCTCCCCATTTTTAGACTTTTTACTAAGAAATTCGTTGCTGTCAGTTTGTTTTTTGTTCTTGCTTATGGTAATAGGTTTTTTACGTTGATCGAGGGTTCGGCTAGTTTTGATATTGTTAGTGGGGGACGGATCTATTTTTTCAGCAGTAGCTGTATTAAGCGCGTCTGGTGGTTAACGATTCGTATTGCTCCTTTAGGGGTGGTCGTCTCTATGTCTAATCGTAGGGCTAATAGTAGTAGTTGGAAGGTGAAGTTTGTTGTCAGTTCTGGTCACTTTGAGATTGATGTAACGATCCTAATTCTAATTATATCAATATATAGTCATTTTCCTTTAAAAAAACCTTAGTGATATAAGTCGTGGTTGTGTAATTGTAGCGCATATTGGAAACTGCGAGCAATTATGGCTTCTTTTGAGTTATTTAGTCACATGTCTCCGGATTCTCCATGATAAAACATAATAACTTTTCAATAAACTAAACATAGTTATTATAGTTCGTATTTATTCCACTTTTGGTGTTACGAGTTTTGTTCAAATTCCACCTTTAGTCCACATCTTTCACTAATGTTTTTTTAACCATTTGTGGTCCTTTTCCGGCTATTTTAATCATCGGAAACAATGTTGGAAGGACCATACATGGACGAAAACCCAATAGTCATGTATCAAAAGTGGAAAAAGTTAAAGATGTGGAATAAATGTGAAATTGAATTAAAACTCGGAGAATCAAAAGTGAAATTTATTCTTATAGTTCTATCAAAAGCTTAGCTTATATCTAATTTATTCATTTCAACGTTTGAGCCTCTCACTTATCAAGCCAATTCATCATCTCTAGCAAGGTTTCAAATAGTGGTTACAACAGTTGATGCGGCCGCAATAGTGAGGTTGCGGGTGGCGGTGCAACCGCATCGAGCCGCCAGATCGGTATGTATCCGAATTATGATGAAAACTCACAACGTTACCACGAAGAAACCGCAACGACGCCGCATCACTCCGCTACTGACCGCAATAACACCACATAGGTCCGCATCAAGCCGCTATCGGCTGCAACAACCACATTGCTAGTTTTAACCTTTGAACTACGACGGTTTAACCTCAAAGTATATTTAACACAAAATACATTTGTATTCTTATGCATTTAAAGGGTTTTAAACTTGTTGTTGTTGTTGTTGTTGTATAGGCTATGGTCTTCCCAGCTCAATTAATTAATTAGTTATTTTTTGTGCATTAAATATATACTACCTCCGTCCCTTAAAATTTTACCGACCGACGCGAAGAATAATAAAGTAAAAACTGTGTGGTTGAGATTTGTGCAGAGGAGACAGAAATAAGAGAAACTACAAAATAATTAATTAAAAAGGAAAGTGACAAAGTTTTTTGAAACGTCCCAACAAAGAAAGATTGACGAAGTTTTAAGATAGGGAGTATTTTTCATTTATAGCCCTAATATTTTGGCCAATTTACTTAATGATGATTATTTCAATGTCACCTTATTCGTGCCTTTTCCCAAATCACTCCGCTATTGTCAAAGAGCACCTCGTTCCACCGCCGCTATTCCCACCATGAACTCCTCCGGCGACAACCAGCAATGTAAGAAGAAGAGAAAAGCATTGACGCCAGAGACGCAGTTCCGTTTAGCCCTCGACCAGTGTTCCAAAAGCAAAGACCTTAAAGCCGCAATCTCCCTCTACGACTCCGCCGTCTCCAAACCATCCTCAATCCGCATGTCCAACCATCACTTCAACTCATTCCTATATATCTGCTCCAATGCCGTGTCCAAACCGGAAACCAAGCAATCCGCAATCGAATTTGGTCTCCGGGTATACGAGAACATGGTTTCCGGCGGCGCTAGCCCCAATGAGGCTACTGCCACCTCCGTTGCTCGGCTGGTCGCCGCCAATAACGACGGTGACACTGCGTTCGAGCTTGCAAAGGGCGTCGGGAATGGAGGGAAGCTCAGGACATATGGACCGGCCCTCTTTTGCTTTTGTAGGAATGGAGAGGCTGACCAGGCTTATCAAGTGGAGGAGCAGATGGAATCTATCGGACTTCAACTTGAGGAGCCTGAGCTTTGCGCCTTGTTTAAGGTAAGCATAGCTGTTTCACTCTTTGTATTGATACCAGAGTATATTTCCATATACGTAAAATATTTATTTAAATTGGGTTCAGAATCGAGCTATTTTGTGCTGTTCTCCAACAAAAGATTCTGCCTTTGCTTTTTCTTGCTGAAAGTAGGTTAATGTGGCAATGCATACTTTTGTTCTTCTTGTTGATTAGGAGGCTCCAGTTTTGTTTGGTTGTTAACTTTTTATTCATCTTTTTGTTGATGATATTTTAAGGTGAGTGTGGAGAAAGAGAATCAAGCAAATGTTTACAATTATTTGCACAAGTTGAGAAAGGCTGTGAGGGGAGTGAGTGAGATGACAGCAGAGATCATAGAGGGCTGGTTTAGAGGGGAAGTTGCTTCTATGTCAGGTTTACTGAAATGGGATGCAAACCAGGTGAAAGAAATGCTGGTGAGGAATGGTGGTGGGTGGCATGGACTTGGATGGCTTGGGAAGGGTAAGTGGGCCGTGCAGAGGACAAGTATTGCTTCTGATGGACAGTGCCTCACTTGTTCAGAGCAGTTGGTATGTGTTGACATTGCCAGGGAAGAAACAGAGACATTTGCTTATTCTGTTTCATCCTTAGCTATGGAAAGGGAATCACAGTCAAACTTTAAAGAGTTTCAGGTGAAAGAACCATCTTAATGTGTATTTTGATTTTTGAAGAAGAAATACCAAATAGATTATCTAAAAAGGAAAAAGAAATGATGTTTTTTGTTTAATGCCGAGTATTAGGTGTGAAAACAATCTTAATGTGCAATTTGAGGCAGCAACACCAAAATGAGTATGAAAAAGGAAAACAAAAGACCATTATGTATTTTTTATTTTATGCAGACTTTCTTGTCAAAGACCATCATGATGTGTGTTTTGAGGAATAAACATCAAACAGGTTTTATGAAAAAGAAAAAAGATCATTATTTATTTTATGCAGATTTCTATTGGGAAACCATCTTATTGTGTATTTTGAGGTAGAAAAGCCAAATATATTCTATGAAAAAGAAAAGAAAAAAAATGATATTTATGCACTACAATATGCAGAATTTCAGGTGAGATATCTTGATCTTTATTTTTAAGTTGAAATACCAAATGGATTTTCTGTAAAATAGAAATAAAAGATCTCTTGTACTTTATGCAGGGTTTCAGGTGAGAAAAATTTTGAAAAATCTTATTGTGCATTTTTAAGATGTAATACCGAATGAGGTTTAAGAGAAAAGAAAAAAAGATGATAATGTATTTAATATTTACACAAACTTTCTGGTGAGAGACCATCATAATGTGTATGTTAGGGAAGAAGTTCCAAATGTATTTTCTGAAAAACGTCAGAATAGATCTTTATGAAATTTTTGCCTCAGATAGTTGAATTAATACTCTGCTGGTTTTGTATTCTCTTACACATGTACTAGCCAAGGTTTTAAATATTCTCTTGATGTTTTGTAAAGGATTGGTTGGAAAGCCATTCTGAATTTGAAGCTGTAGTGGATGGAGCAAATATTGGGCTCTATCAACAAAACTTTGCAGAGGGCGGGTTTAGTGCTTCCCAGGTCATTAATTCATCTTTGAATTGTCATTGCTTTGCAAATTTCAATTTGTCATTCTCTTTTGCGTTATAATGGTCACTAAGTTGGTTTAATTAATAATTTGTAATAGAGCAGCTTATTGCAGTTGTTAATCATTTGCATAATAGGAGTAATAAATGGCCCCTTGTTGTCTTGCACAAAAAACGTGTCCGGGCACTCCTTGAGAGTGCCAACCACAGAGAGGTAATTGAGAAATGGATAAATGAAGGAGTGCTTTATCCAACACCTTATGGATCAAATGATGACTGGTATATAATTATATATAATCTTTAATTCCAATACTTCTATTGAAGTAATTTTAATGAATTGTACCTTTTCTTTCAGTTATTTGCCATGAAAGTTATGCTTATGGATATATGTGCTGCAATCTAGGTACTGGCTTTTTGCTGCTGTGAAACTCCAGTGTTTTCTTGTGACAAATGATGAAATGAGAGATCACATTTTTGAGCTTTTTGGTAGCAATTTCTTTATCAGATGGAAAGAAAGACATCAGGTTGGTACATTTCTTAAACTTCATTTTCCTCTTCTGCTCCATATTTCTAATGGGTCGAAGCTGTCTAGTTAGTCCTTCTTTATATCATTGAAATGAGTTGCCTTAGTTGTGCTATAGCTTTGTAATATTATTGGCTCTTTTTTATTGAACTATATTTTTTCAAGTCTTGGGAGTGGCCTCTTGTCAAAATGACAAGGGAAGGCTTGCTCCTTTTACACCGTTGTGGTGGGACCCATCTCCAGACCCCCACCTCGCGGGGATGCCAATGTGCCCTGGGCTGCCCTTTTTGTATTTTTCTTTGATGGGAAAAATGAAACTTGACTGGTGAATTGGTGATAGCTACTTGACTACTTCCAGTAATTCACATTAGTACTTATAAATATCGAGTTTGCTGTCATAGAGCAACTATAAGGCTTTTATTATAAATAGCAACCTTTTTAAGTAAATCAATAAAGACTTGAGGGCCTAATGATGTTTCATCCTTATAGGTTTTTATACGTAATATTTCTTATGTGGTAAAATTGGACATTGTGCCTCATTCTTTCATCCAAATTTGAGTTTTCATACATTTATGAAATCATTGCCATATACACCATGCTGTCAGGACAATCTGTTGACAAGGTTTAAAAGTGGGGTGCATTCTCCAATCTGGAAGAAAATGATGTCCAAACTATAGTGTAGAAACAATCTTCTGGGGTTGCAGTATCAAATAATGTTCCTAACAACGTGGTGCAAATATTAATGTTTTTAAGAATTGGGTGCAAACACAAAATTGAACGCAAAATCGTGTGCAAACTTTGACATTCTCTTCTAATAATTTAGAAGACTCTTAGGATAAGTCATTTTTATGGAGAATTTTAGAAGCTTTAGACAGATCAATATTCAGGAAAGTTTGGGAAAACCTTGGGCTTTTCGCAGAAGAAGGTTCAAGAATCTGAGTTCCGGTGGATCTAGGAAGCTTAGTATCCCTCTACCCAAGCCATTTAATGCTGTGTGAAGGGTACTAAGGGTTGCTTGGATTTTAATATGATGCTGGTGAATATATTCCTCCCAATGACAAATGAGAATGTATCAATGTCAAATACTAATTTCTGCAGGTAAGGTACACATTTGTGAAAGGCAACCCAAGTCTTTCATTGCCGCCTTCCTTTTCAATTGTGATTCAGGTATATTTTCTTTTGCCTGTTAGGATTTTCATTTCGTTTTGTTTTTGAAATGAAATCCCTTTCCCCTCGTAAGTCCTAACATTCTTGGGTTAGATGAGAGTGATTTTGGAGAAGGCAAAGAGGATGAAAATAAGACGTATAGATAATTCATATGTTTTGCCTCCTCTTTCTCTATCTAATGTTTTTATTTCCGACCCCCCTTACCCCACCGTAGGTGGGAGCCTTTGCGGCACTGCGGTAAATGAAAATGATGAAAATGATCATATTTCATATGTCAATCATATGTCAGTCACATGTCAATTCATATTAGCTAACCACAAAATCTTTTCCGGATAAGACTTAGTATGCTTATGCAGGCCCTCCTAACATTCTTTATGATAATTAATTCCATGGGGGAAGGAGAAGCATCGATCTCTACACCCCAGTATAATTGATTCTTAGTTTTTTTATGCTTTATAGAGCTATGTCGCTCGATATAATATTTTTTTAGAAATAATAAGTTGCCAAGTTTTCCATCATTTGCAATGGAGCCAAAGACTCACTATTTTTCAGGTTGAGAATATATTGAAATAAAGCGAAATGGCTCACTAAACTGCTTGCGCTTCTTTGTTATGGAGCAGCAGTTAGTCCATGCAATTTTTTATGCGATTTTAACAATGAGTCTCTGTGCTTTAGTATAGGGGTAAGACTACGTACATCTGACCCCTTACCCCACCGAAAGTGGGAGCCTTTGCGGCACTGGGGTAATGATGATGATGAATAAGTTGCCAAGTCCCAATTTGTTTCCCTTTCACCCCATTACTTATTTGTTTCTAAATTTTCACCATCCTTACAATATCCTCCAAGAAAAAGGATTCTATCAGTGAAGTCATTTACCCTCAAACAAATATAAAAATACAGGTTACTACCTCCGTCTTACTATCTTTGGGACATGAGAAAGTTGAATTATGTAGTTGATATTTAATTTGTGAAGTGTAAATTTTTGAACCATACAAATATTTTAAATATGAAGGGAAGCCTTGGCGAATCTATTACGGTGTTGCAATGTGACCGACAGGTCACTGGTTCAATTCTTAGAAGCTGCCCCTCTTCAAAGTGAGAAGGGAAGGCTTGCTCTATATTTATCGTTGTGGTGGGACTCTACCCCAAACCCTCGCCTTGTGGGAAGCTAATGAGCACCGAGCTGCCCCTTTTTATAAATATACTAAATATATTACTTCATACTACTAAATATATGAGCACCGTAGTATGAAGTATGTAACAAATTTAGTAGGACCAAGAAAAATAAAAGGCATGACAAATATATTGCAAAGTATGAGGTAAACATATAGCAGGTTATTGAGCAACTCTTTTTAACTTAGATCTTTAAGAATGGAATCCTAAATCTTAATACCAAAGTTGAGTTTCATGTTTTATGTTTCAGGAATCTGAGAAAGGATCCTGGCATGTACCACTGGCAAGTGAAACTGTGGACGAGTCTACTTCGGCATGGCTGTGCATTACGAGACCATACTGCAAAGACTCGAATGAAAAGGTACAATACAATCTAGAAACTTCGGAAACCTGTGAAATCCGTAGGTGTGATCAATTCCTGGATTCAAAGCAGAACTCTGATGCTTGCAACGGCATTAGTAATAGTCCAGTGTTAATAGCCGGCAAGAGGAAAGACAGGTCTTGATCTTTGTCGATATTTCTGCAACATCTCAATTATTGGAATCACCAAAGTTTACCTTACTTTAATCCGATATTCGCATAAAGAACCATATAAATGCTCACACAAGTTCATGTTGTGTGGGTTTCTAGATACATTTCGACGAGATATTTTATGTAAATAATTTAATTCATCATTTGAGCAAATTATCAATATTTCATACGCATATAGTGACATAATATTGGAGTATAAGGTAACTTCTTTCGTCATAAACAAACATTCAGCATTTCTTTGATGTCATGTGTATTGTTTTAAATTTGATTAATGTCTGAACTTCGATCCATAGAAATGTAATTACATTAGGGTTGATATTGTTCCTTTTTTCTTTTCTTCTTTTAGAAAAGAAACATTAGGTTTGATATCGTTTCTTTTTTTACTTTTTTTTGAGAAAAGAAACATTAGGTTTGATATTGCTTCTATGCTTCTATAATATGTATTACCGTAGTAGTGTTTTTGGCATAACTACTGCTACTAAAAACTACTCCGTAAATGGGAATCAAAACCGATTTTTAGTAGCAATCCTTTGCGCTGCCGCTACTTATGAGATAAACTGATTTCGTTTGATCAACCTAAAATTGACTGGATATGGTGAAGTTGCTCAAGTTAGGGCTGAGATGGACTAATATGTTGATATATGAAAAGGTTTTATTATAAATGTTTTTTGTTAATATTGTAATGAAAAAATTAAAATGAACACATATAAGATGTTCCTTTTCGACGAATACAAGTATGAAGTATACAACCAACAAAGATGACCCAGAGTTGCTTTTTCCAATCCATTCTGCGCACGAAGTAAAAGAGTGATGTTTAATTAAAAAAATCGAGTGAGAAAGCTGAAGCTAGAAACTAGAAAGGGTAATTTAACAAAACACTAGAATTGATTATAATAAGAAATATAGCTGATGAATAGGGGCATTATAATTTTATTAAAAACCTTAGACAACCAAATAACAGAACCCATTTCATGTACTAAGTATGTTTGCTGTTTGCATAAAACCACATAAATAAGGGAGGAATTTTAACACATTAGGGTATTATTATTGGTACAAAAAAGTGCACAAATGATATGGGAGTACAGTTTTCCCCGCATTCTGCAGCAGTTCATAAGGCAAGTAGCGAAATAACACTTCTAATTACGAATCTTGAAGACGTATTTCATCACTCCAGGAAAGTGAGTCTTGATGAAATAATCTTCCCAGTTGACTATTTTTGGATCAAAATAGAACAAGTCTGTCTCAATGTTTTCTTCCTTTGTCGCTCTCCGCAATTTTTCTGTGTTCATATCATCATATCTGTATCCAGCATATTCATACTAAGTTTTCTTGGGTATGCAAATTAAAAATCATTGGTATTTAATATCTATTAATTACACTTACACTCCCTTGAAGAATGCGTAGGGCCGGTACAATTCTACCATCCTCATCATTACCCTGATTTTTTTGTGCGTCTCATCGTATACCCTTTGGAAATACTGACAACATGCCTTGTTCACCATCTCCAAACCCTGTTTAGTGCAAGCAACCATGCACAAAGACAAGAATAGTCAATGTTTAATCCATACTAAAGCCTGACTCTTTGAATAAAACTCTAATAGTTTGAGAACATAAAATCATTTCAGATACACATAAAACATATTTAGTTTATCAAAATTCTAAATTTACAAAAATTCTATACTTTCTTATACCTTACAAAAAAATCATTTCTTTGGTCTCTTCATATTTCCATCATTCGTAATGGAGCCAATACTCACTATTTTTTGACTTGAGAATATGATGGAATAAAACAAAATGACTCACTAAACTGTCTGCGCTTCTTTGTTATGAAGCAGCAGTTAGTCCATGCAATTTTCGACGTGATTTTCACTATGGGTCATCCAGAAACAATCTCTCTGTGCTTTAGTATAGGGATAAGACTGCGTACATCCGACCCCCCTTACCCCACCATAGGTGGGAGCCCTTGCGGCACTGGGTAATGATGATGATGGTCTCTTCATACATACATGAACCACAATAGCCATATATATAGATAGTATATCCTACACACAAGTTATAAAAACATTTTATGGAAAATGAATTATTTTTGCTTGGTGATTCTATTTTTGTTTCAAGAATTATGCTTAATATTATTAATATGATATGTAATTTATCTTGTAGGGAGACATATACTCTATCTTGGTAAGACAAATTCTACTAATTTTTATGGTGGACACCACTAATTTTTTGATTATTGATAGGATATGTAAGTATAAGATATGAGAAATGCTATATAGGGTAACCATTGTTCAGAAGGTTTTTTTAAGGCGCAGTTGTAATGGTTGAGGACTTGAGTTGTGATTTTGGAAACTATTCGGACACAATGTGGTCTTAGAAATTTCTGAAATACGAAAGTTTGGAATTTTGTATTTTATATCAAATTGGAGATTTTGGTAAAGTCTACTTCACCTTATTTTTGGTATCTTATACATAAATGTTTCAATTGGAGATTTTATTCAAATTTGCGGCTCAAAAATCATACGTGGCGGCCAAAATTCTATACGTAAAGTCTACTTCACCTTATTTTTAATTTGTCCATATGATCGCTATAGGGTGACTCTCTATACATGGAATTTTGATCGCCATGAAGGATTTTTTTGCAACAAATTTGAATGAAATCTCAAGAGGAAGTGTATGAAATCTCAAGATGAAGAATCTATGTGTAGCTATGGTACTGACTTGATTCATTTAAGAGTTAAGGTACCAAAATGCAACAATATCAATACTTAAGGTACCATTTATGCATTTGACCCACGGAAGTTTACAACAATTAGGGTTTGTGCATGATATGAGTAAAATAACAAATCAATGACTACTAACCTTCAAAGGGATGAGATAATGAATGAACATGTATCTTTCAAAGATTTCAACACTGCTCAACACAGTTATCTCTCCAACAAGAATGGGTTTTCCATCCTTGTTTATCCATGGGTGGTGTGTGAAGTAATTGTACACAAATTTTTGCAACGCTTTAAACTCCACTGGATTCGACATCGATGACCCCACATGGTATATACTCTCGGTGCCTTGTTGATCTGCATGTGCTACCATGGCTACTATCATGGCATTTACCACCATATCACTCGGGATCTGTGATTGTGCAATTTATTATTTTCTTATTCAAACATCATCATGTTTGATAACACTGTTTTTCGGCTTATCAGTCTTATCAACAAACTTTTTCACCAAACATGTAACTTTTGATTCCGCGTGCTGAAATGTGTAATAATAAAAAAAAGTAAGGTTGAAGTTACTTTTCTGTCTGGTTATTTTTAATAATAAGAGGATCATTTTAGTTATTTTTACATATAATTTTTTCTTTATTTTATTAATAAAATATATTTTATATTTGTTTTTTTCATAAATCAGCAGAATAAGCCGATACAGTCATTTCACAAATTTCAGCAGAATCAGCTGATTCAATTGATTTCAATATTACCGAACGGGCTCATAATGTTTGCTCAAAATCAGTTATGCACCTATTGAGGGAGAGGGAGGGGAGTTGGCAAGGGTTGCCACATATTAAAAAAATAAATAAATGAGTTCTCGATTCCAAACTAAAATTTTATTTTAGTTTTGGGTGAAAAAAATGGACATTTGGTCCCTTATGGCCCAAAATTATACAGAGTTCGAAAGTACAAGTCTAACACCAGAAATAATTTGTAATAGCTGAAGGGAAATAAATATTGAACTATTTACATATTTATGATTAAAAATCTTATTTGTGAAAATATAACCTTTATTGTAGTGACCATAGTAGTGACTTTAGTTATTGTTTTTTAAAAAAGTTATATGTCAGTGATATTTTTGAAAACAATTCATGAATATAGACATAATAAAATACATAAGTACAACAAAACAATAGTAGCGGTGCTTCAATATAATGCTGGGAAAATGTGTTGGCATTATAAGGCTGCAATTGAACGGATAAGACAAGCATAAATTGGCTCAACCTTTCTACAAGACTCGCTTTCTTACCATCAAACTTAGTTTTATACAAGTATATAGATAAAGAGATAAAATTGCAATAATTCATTTTGTTCATTCTTATTATATTGTTAATACTAAAAAAGAAATTTAGACTTATTTAAATTCCTTCGTCAGATAGATAGATATAGGATCTACGGTATCCCTTCCCTCAATAAATCGGGATGGTTGATTCAATTGCCATCATTATATTCTCACATGCATCATTGGAATTACTCTTTTGATAAATTATAAAGATAAGAAGATTTGAGTTCGATTCCCGCTATCCAGACAATATCCAAATGAGAAATTTTCCGAAATAGGACCAAAACAGTTTAAAAATTTCAAAATAGGACTGCTATGTTTTTATTTCCAAAATAGGAGTAATTACTGTCATGTTTGGAAAATACTGCCATGTTTCAAATTTGGTACTGTCAAAACATGACAGTAATTAGTCCTATTTTGAAAATAAAACATGACATTTTTTTCCAAACTTGGCAGATTACTCCTATTCAGGGAATAAAAAACATGATACTCCTATTTTGGAATTTAAAAACGTTATTACTCCTATTTAGGACAATTTTTGTGAAAAAATTCAAGGCCGAAACCATATTTGTTTAGACGATCATTGCGAAAGAAAGTTTTTTCTTCAACCTATGACTCAATTTCCTATCGAATTCATCGATGCCCTAGGTAAACATGTTTTAATAAACAACGTACTATTACTAACCAATGAAGTAAAAATGTCTTTGGCCTTTTACTATTTCCTAGGGATTTGAAGTGTAGTACCTGCCCCTAGGTCATACACTACCCGAATGAAAATGTTTTTTCAAGAAATAGATTTATTGAAGTAGCTCACCACATCCATAATTATCTCAGGGTCACCAGGGAAGCATGTTATATTTCCTTTTCCATAAGCAACTGCTAAGCTGTCAACAGTTCTGTATGTACATATATTATTAGAAAATAATGTAAACAAAAGAGCCAAGCAAACAACAATAATAATAGTAAGAAAGTGTGATGATATATTACTCCGTAATAAATAGTAATGAACTGAGGATTGTATACCTCAAACCTTCAATCCAGCCAGGGAAAGGTTCCTTGTAGGTGCTAGTTACAATAGTTGGACGTATAATTACTAGAGGCACATTGTCTCTTGATTTTCCTAAAAGCATCTCACCCATAGCCTTTGTGAATACGTAGGTGTTTGGCCACCCATACGCCTTTGCCCTTTGAGAATAATATTTAGTGAAACTTAAATAGTTGAACAATTTAGTGTTAG